GGATGCTTTGATTGGGAGTTCCTCCATGGCAGGGGGTTGGACTGGATGTCTCTTGTGGTCTCTTCCAATTTTGTGATTCTATGATTCTATGATTCTAACAAACAAAAAAGTTTTATCCTTTTGCATTGTATCTTTTACACTATTTGAAAATATAATCTCTAAATTTCTTTTTTAATGCCAGGCAATTGGAACATCTGTCCACAGCTGGTATGTGAATTCAATCACCTAGATGTTTATGTGCATGAAAGGAGTGATCTTGACATGGACTAGTCACTAGTGGATCACCAGTTTGTAGTTGTTGTGTGACTTCAATTAATTTCTGACCTAAGGTGAACCTTTCATGAGATTTTCTTGGCAAGATTTGTTTGGGGGCAGGATTTTGCCGTTGCTGCCCTTTGAGTCTGAGAGAGGCTGCCCTTTGACTAAGGTGACCCCACGGGTTTCCATGGCCAAGAGAGGATTTGAACCCTGGTCTCCAGAGTTGTAGTCTAATGTTCAATCCACTACACCATGTTGGCTCTCCTTGCCCCAGTTATGGAATATTATCCATAAAAAGACATACTCCTTTAACATGAAATTTTCCACTCTGAGGAACACATTCTTACCATCATTCAGTTTTATTGATATTGTCTGAAACAAACTATAAATGTTTCTTCATTTGGATAATTAAGAAACCCACAGAAGAAATTGAGAAGTGTTTCTTGTTAAGTGAAAGAATGAAAAAACAAAAGTTGTTTGGGCTTATTTTTTGGTAGAAAGGCAGGATAAAAATCCTATAAATAAATGAATAATAAAATGATTTGTGGCCTTTGCAGACTGCCTGAAATAGTGGAAATTGAGGCCACTTTAACTGCCCTGACTCAGTGCTAAGGAATCATGGGAACTGTAGTTTATTGTGCACCAGAGCTCTCTGACAGAGAAGGCTCAATGTCCCAGAAAAAATACAATTCCCATGATTCCTTAGCACTGAGCCAGGACAGTTAATGTGGCCTTAATTTGCACTATTTCTGGCATTCTGCATAGGCCCTTAGTGCATTAAAAAAGGCTTTCTCAGTCAATGGCTGCTCCCAGACTCTGGAATGCTCTGACATGGGTGACCAGGCAAACTCCCTCCCTCTTACTTCTTCAATATTTGTACAGGAATATGTACTTTGATTCAATGGGGCTGGGACCTTCAGCACTGCAGTCCTACAGTCTCTGGAATGATAACTCAGGAGTACAGGATATATTGGATTTCCTTGTGTGAGACTGGGGAGAGACCTCTGACTTTGTAGAAGAACTTCTCTCAGATTTCCCCCTTGGTGCCCTCAGTAACATTTGTGGCCCTAGGTTCGAAGGTTAGAAAGGGGTTGTATAAGTAGACATCCTTGGGAGGACCAGTGGTGGCTTTGGATCTAAAGGAGCCTCTCCCAATCCTTATCATTGGGAGGATCAAAAATCTTAAGGAGACTACCTCAGCCCCTGTATGAACTTTTAACTGAAGGAAGGTCTTGTCGTGTTGGGACAGAAATTAACCACAGGACTGAAAGAGAGGCCTTAAAAACAAAAATTCCTACCTCTTCTGCACCATCATCCAGTGGTGTTCCCTCACTGGGTGTCACCTTGTGTGGGTGAGTGGGGCTTCTGGGGTGGGGCATTTCTGGGGATGTGGTTCCCTCTCCCCATGCCAGTCCATCCTTTACCTGATGAGGAAAAGGATGGGATGATGCATAGGGGATGGAGCATGTGTGGGGAAGGCACAGGGGATGGAACGTGGGGGAAAGCACAGGGGGTTGATCGGGTGCTACTCCCCTTTCTGGGGTGTCACCCAGTGCCAGCCACACCACCACACACCCCTAGTGATGCCACTGCCAAACATACCCAGCACCCCAAGCCACTCCTCATAGGGCATATTTAAGTCTGTTCTGTTCTGTTCAGTTTTTACATTTATCTGGACCATTTAAAAAAAAGATACCGAATTAAAATTTATACTTAAATACATATTTTAAATATATTTTCATTAAAGAATACACATATAAAGTTTTTTATATGCATTTTAGTATATTGTGTAAACCAAAGATTGCAATACAAAATATTGGTAAGTCTCAAATCCAAAGAATAGCTATGTTCTGATACACACATTACCTCAAGCTATCTGCACCCAGTCTGTTCCCATTGACACGAAAATCTTAGAAATTTCTGTAAACACCCCTAGAGCACTCCTGATACTTACACTTCCTTGGAAGATTGGTCTTACAGTTTGAATTTTACTGTATACATGATGAAGATGAAAGATGGACATTTGAATTGGTCACTGAAGAATCATAGAATCATAGAATCATAGAATCATAGAATCATAGAGT